ACTTGAAGTTTGACTGGCAATTGAAAAACATTTACCTTCGCCATAAGCTGCCATAGGGGAACATCAGTATTTTACAAACATATCATGTTTTAATTTTTTTTATTGATTTATTTACGTTTGGGTGATTTTTTTTTAAAAAGTGATTTTTCTTTTGAACATTTAATAACGACGTCAGTGAAATATTTGTTTTAACGATTTTTACTCATTCATTTACATGTTCCTTCACAAATCATTTTAGTGTTTAAGAATTACAGCAATTGTTCTCACAATACTACTTGACTGAGATAGGTCTAGGACACAGAATTATAAACGCTTCATGAATCCATTGTGAATATCGAAAGAGTATAAAAAATATATATCAAGCGGAATAAAACATAACTTTAAAAAAGTAGCACCCTATATCCGTATTTTCCGATATCCTAAAAAAGAAGACATATGACAGGAAATAAATCAAAAGGGAACTTTTATCGAATAAAATATACCTACATAGAGGCATATTTAATATTCTCACTGTCTAACATTCTAAAAATGAAGATATCTATCAAGAAAAGATATTGGAAAAAGATCTAAAGAGAACTTTTAAGTAAAATCAGACTAATCAGACAGAAACATTCTTTAATAGTAAGATGTTAAATATCCGATGTGTCTGGCATCCTAAATCCAAGAGAGAAAACGAAATTTATAAAGCAGTAGAAATTGAAAAGAAGAGGACACTAAAAAACAGAAACGAAATTAAAAATAAAAAATGCAATTTCTATCGTCCTTTTGATCCCGGAAAAAAAAATGTATTCTAGAAGAAAAATTAAATAGTGAGAAAAGAAAAGACGGTGGAACGAACAATAAGGATAACGATCCGATAATTAAAATAAGAGAAAATAAAAATTCCCATAAATAATGTCTGTAAAGTTAGTTTGTCGATATTCCCCTTACATTTAATTTTGAATGACAGCAAATATTTACTATTTCATTTACAACTTTATATTCAAATTGCATCAGCTTTCTGTAGAGTGCCAGAAAACTTTTTTTTATTTCAACATTTTAAGTCACAATTATAAATATTGATGTTATTTTTTTTAATCGTTCTATACAGTTAAACAGAGACTTTTTGGCATAGAAACAACACGTAAATATATCATTAAAGAATGATGAAGATTAGGTTTTCATAAATTTACGATACCCCTAATACAGACATTTCGTTCACAGTACCTACTGTGACACGGGACCTCGTTTTATGCGATAGCACCCAAAGGACCAGTCTCCACGTTCCGCAGTCGGATTGGAGCCTGTCACGTAAAGATCAACTCCCCATTCCGCAACACTAGAGCAAACGATCAAACCACTGCGCCAAGAAGGACATTTCGTAATATGTATGGGATTTGACGCCTCCTTCGCCTCTCTCATGTCACCTCCCTCGGAAAAAAGGATATCTAAGTTCAGTATATGAATTACAAGAAAAAAGAAAAACTATAAGGCAAATGATGAAAATGTTGCATTAAATTTTCATTTTTTTTTATTTGGAATTGTTTCTTATTATTGAATCTAAGGAGAAGACATTTAAGGCTTCCTTGAAAAGCCAAACTTGTGTCTTGTTTTTTTTTTTTTTTTTTTTTTTTTTGTTTTTTTTTTTGTTTTTTTGTTTTGTTTTTTTTTTTTTTTGTTTATGATTCCTTCAACAATATGCTATCATATGGATCTAAGAAGACACAATATTGTATTCAAGACGGCAGTTATCTGAGAAATGAAAAAAAAAAAAAAATACAGAGTTGAGATTGTTATTTTACTACTGATGTACTCAACTTCTAAATACATTTAAAACTTAGTTCTCCTTTAAAAGGATTACGTCATTGCAAAGGAGATCCTGAAAGCGTGACAACAAGCAGGAAGAACAATATAGAGAACGTTTGTTAAGCAATTAAAATGATGGAGACAATTTTACTTTTAGGCTAATAAATATCTTGAAGCTTTTAAATTGTAAGTGTATTACAGATACACAATACTTAAATGAAGAGGTACTTGCGTCTACTTTACAGCACGTTAACATGAAGAAACAAATTATGAAAGCATACATGAACATTGCAGACTAAAAGATAAAACAAACTTTTTCACTGCTACAAATTAAATTTCTAAATTTCCACTTAATCAGCTACTGGTTTGACGAAGTACATGTACGAGTTAGTGTTGGTTAATTTACGGTCTGTCCACTCTGGGATAAATCAATTCATAGCCTTATTGTTGCTTATTAATCTTTATCACTTACCTAGTTTTTGGCTAAGTAATCCATAAATTTAACCATTGAATGTTTATGCATGACTTGTTCACAAGATTACTAAAACGTATGCTTAGGAAAATAATGGGCAAGTAATAGACAACCTTGAGTTTCATAACTGCTTTTCATTTTGAAAATGTTCTAGTAATAATCTAATACTATTAAATGCTTAACTCTAAGTATTGAATTCAAATGGAATAAAAATTATATACTATAATTCTATACGCATTCAGTGTATCAACATACCATTAACTACAATTTTGAAATTTTTTGAAGGAATGTGATAATTCAAGGTGAGTTCGAATTATTTGGTTGATTAGAAACAAATGCTTGAGGGAGTACTTAGCTAACAAAAGATAACTATCTTTATCTGCATTACATGTTAGTGTTGATGAAGACAAATCAATTTTGATGAAAACTAAGTTTTACTGACACATGCATTGAAATAACACATTTTTATGAATGTTGATGCTATCAAATTTTATTTGTTTTCTGACATTTTTTCAAGACCAGGCTACAAACAAAGAATGAACAACAACAAATATATATACTGTGGTTGGACAGCTGCATATATCAAATCCCAAACATATCACGAAATTGTAGTCTGTCTATGATATTAAAACTTTTTTTGTCCTTTTTTTATCATTCTTGTAAATTATTGAAGTTTTTGAAAACTTTAAAGCAGATTATTGAGAAACATTGTGTTTCTAAAACTATTTCTTTACCGTCATTTTGGTATGGTTCCATTTAGAATTTGAGGCTTTGTGTCCGAATGCCATAATTCTGTCAAATATCATCGAAGCGGAACATCATAAAAAGCCAATGTGAAATGTATTACCATGTACTCGCATAAGAATTATAAGATTAATATCTACAAGAGTAAGAAATGAAAGAAAAGCAAAGTAGGACAGGGTGATTGACAGAAAAAAGGGACAGCTTGATAGAGGTAGTGGAAATCGATAGTTTTCCCCTACGTTTCTCTGGTAGTTAACAAAAATTTTAATGTAAACGTTTTAAAAAAAAGTTTCCCCAGGTTTTGTACATCTCCAAAACCACAAAATGTTACTCATACGCTTCTAAAACACTTGAACTTCTTTAGTTTTATTTACTGACCTTTGAGGTAAGTAGAGCTGTCTATCCCATCAAAACCTTTCACTGAACTTACACGTGTTACTTTGATCAGTCTTTTGAAACTGCGTCGAGACCAAGTCGAGATTGGAACGCCATTACATTGTTTGTTGCACTTCTATAACCCATAATAGAAGGGCATTTTAGACGAAATATTATAGAATAGATGCATTTTTTTTTAGCTCACTGCAAGAATTAAAAACTTCACGATAACTGCTGACCTGTAATACAACGCATTTGCTATAACTGCATGAAGTTGTGGTAGCAAAACAATTCTGGGAAGGTTTCCAACTAAAGGTGATTAACGAATGTACAGTTTTCAATTCTAGTTATTCCTCTTTGTTACACATTACTCTATCAAACTCGCTGCGCTTGCTATAAATTTTGTAAATGATCTCCCGTTCCATACGTTTAGTTTTTTTATCATCTTTCATTAAGTATTTTCCTGCCATATTGCTGGTTGTAACCTATATTGATGAAGCAATTACACATATATTGCATGTTGGTATACATATTATTACATGAATTTGAAAGAAATCTTACGATTTATTCAACCAAGAAAAAAGAAATCAAACTCCCGAGGGCTTTGTTGGAGAGGAATTCATTTTTTTTCTGAATAAAGAATTATTTATATCACCCGAACATTTATGAAGCAATTTATTTTTTTTTTTAATTCTGAATCGAATAAACCTTTAAAGGATAATCACATATTTTCAAATCTCACCGCTGTCAAGTCCATTTTCAATATAAAAAGAGATCCTTTCGAAGAAACCATTTAGACATTTCACAGTACTCGATTTGTTTTTATTATAATCTAACTAGAAACTGCTTGGTAGATGAAACCTTTCTTGTGACCTCTGTAGCTCTATTAAGTTTTCCTTTAGAAACAATGCCTCCGGGAAAATTTCGAAGGCCCCCAGTCCTCAATATCAACGATTGTCCGATTGTCTGTGTCCAGTTCATTTTTGATCAGACAGATCAATGTTCAAACACTTCTCCAACCGGACATGTCAATCTCCAGACACAAATATCCGATTGAACAATTTAATGTAAATATTGTATTTATGATTTAAAAATTCCGTGAAATTTATGGCGATTTCAAAGTGTGATTTTAAAAACAATGCAAACATAAAATATTAAAAGAAAAATTATTAAGGTTGCCGTCAATAGTCACCGGATACCTTTAAGAAGGAGCGCGATCAAGACTAGATTACGAGCATTTATGCTGTATTCGAAATCAGTCAAAGTTTTATTATCACTTTTAAACAAATCATAATCGTTAGAAATAAAATCCATTACCTCATCTTGAAGCAAGTGCTACAATCCTTAGAGTGGGAGAAGTAAACACTAAACAGTGACAAGTAAAAATTGCAATTGGCAGCTATTCCTATGGACAAGTGAATATTTTAGTTAATACTGAGCCCTGACCCCTGAAGGGATGGAATGCGATGAAAAACTCGACCATGGCATCGAATTATAAAGATAATTTCCCTGCCACAAGACTGTCTAGATCAAATCAGATTTAACTTTCCAAAGAATACTTATATTGAACTACTATAAATATGATTCCTCTTGCAGAGAAAAAAAAATCCAAACAAAACATGTATGCTGTTCTTCTGGTTCCGTTTATTTCTCAATTAAATGTCTATGTTGGTAACAGACATTCATTGCTGTTGAAACTAGACAAGATACATGGACAACATTTTAAAAGTGTGTGTGATTTGTCAAAAGGTTGTTTTGTTTATCTCGGTTGATGGTTGATTGCCTCATAGGTTGATGGCTGTCCCAGACTTCCAAGTTCTTGGTAATCTCCAGGGGTATTTTCAGTAGTACCTTTCTTGCTGTGAATACTTTGAGCTTGATGGTACATTTCTGTATCATCTTCCTTCATTTTTATTGCCTTGTGCTTTCTGCTATCAAAACGATATTTAAAAAAAAATAATTAATGCATGGACATTTAAAATGGGCGAAATGAAAGGAAGATTAAAAATAAAAAAATAAAAAAAATTAAAATTCTACCTTTTCAGACACAGGACAGCTACAATCACTGCAAATAACAAAACACAAAAACAAAGGGTGATTAACACTCCATAAAATCTGGATTCACAGTCTTTTTCTTTCAATATTTGCACTGTAAAAAATCATTCCATGTATGCATGTGAGTATTGTTGCAATTTAAAAGAAATTCTTATCCAGTGATACATGTATATCATGATGTTATTAAGCAAGCCTTACTTAATATGTCTCCCAAATGCTCGTAACATGCCATTTAATTATTTCTTTGTAAAAGAAATAATGTTAAGTATATACTAATAAAGATAAAATGCTGTACATATTTGAAAATGTTTAGTTCATTTATGCACAAGAACATTTTTAACATTTTTTTTTTTCAACAAATAACTGCAGAGAATAAAATAGGCTATGACTATCAGTTATCAATTTGTTTCTAACCTTGAAAGCAATCTTTTCCCTGCCAACCAGTTTTACACCCTCCTTTGCAAAAGCCCGTCATGTGGTTACAATGACGTGAAATCTTGCAAAATTTACTGCATTCGTCCTCGCAGTCATATCCAAAATAGCCAGTGTCACAAACTGTACATGAAATACTTTGTAATACAAAATGAGTTGTGATTTGTTTTAAGAAGGATAATGAAAAGTTTCACGCCTCTTATTTATTTTAAATTCTTGCACTCAAATTATTATCAACACATCTTTTAAACTATAAGTATATCATACAAAATTTAACTTAACTATTGCTAGAGAGAAAAAAAAAAAAAATAATAATATGTGGTATTTCAGAATTTGTTGATTCTTTAGATATTTTAAATATTTTCTGACCTGTTTGACTACAGCAAAAATATTTTATCCCTTAAATCAAATTCCTTTTTTCCTACGTACCACATCCAATTTAACATTGAGAGAAAATCACAGTTACCCTCATCACACTTAAACACATTTAATCCATTTGTAATCTGGGTCACATTCATAGTTACATGAACCATTCAGTCAATCACAGTGCTCTTGATTTCTACATACACCATATATTGTATCAGTGTTTTGCTTGTATTGAGATTATCTATATTTTTGCAGATTTTTTTTTTCTCTATTTGTTAGAAATATAAACCAAAAAAACAAAAAAAAAAACAAAAAAAAAACAAAAAAAAAAAAAAAAAACAAACAAACAAACAAACAAACATGTATTTCTTTTCTGAATTATTGTTCCTAGAAGTAATTGTGATTTATTTAGTCAAAAATCATGTAAATGAAATAAATGTAATAAAATGAAATGTTTTCAGAAAAAAATATCCCTCTATAATCTTATGATATATGAAGTGAGTTACCTCCCTTTTACTCCAGGGATGCTAGCTATCCTCTGCTCGAGATCATAATTAGTGCTTTTGGAAACAGAAATGCTATTATAGCTGAATATTATCAACAAATTGAAAATCTGCACACTTCATACAATTTAAATTTGACATATGTATATTAATATATAGAGCGGAAAGAAATGATATACAGCCAAGATATAAGACAAATCAAATTGCATTCGTATATCAAAGAAAGCATATCGATGCTATCAATTAAGGATCTCGCTTTCACTGCCGGAAAAAAAAATGATTCGAACATGCATTAGGAAGATAAATAACATTTTGCAATCAAGTCAAACCTTTTCTAAAAAAAAAATATCTTAAATTGGGCCACTATGTTAATCTAAAATCATTATTATGTTTGGAAAGCAAAATTTATGTACAATTGTAAAAATGTTCCTTGTGAAGGGCCTTATTAGATAAAATGTAATGTTACTAAGAAGTGGTTAGATAATACGTTGGGGGGGGGGGGGTTGCACACTTCTTTGCACAAATGCTGCATTCACCATTAAAATTCAAAGATACAGCATCTAACAATGGTCATATACTGATTGGTTAATCGTTATCAGAAAACTGGACAAGATAAGGACTTTCCAAGAAATGGGAAAGCAAAGAAACTGACGCGAATCCAAGAACGTGTTATACATCATGCGTGAAAAAGCGATTTTTTTTCAGCTAGCAACCGGCATTGCTGAATGTTTACGGGCAGCAGCAGACGTCCGAGTTCCCTCTGAAATCAACCATAATCGCCTTCCTAGTGAAGTCTAAGGACTTGGAAACCTCATAAGGGGATTGAGTTACCAGGAAACCATAAATAGGAGAGGTTGCACTTGGCTAATCAGCATTTCTGTCGGAAACTTCCAAATTGTCGATATTTGTTGTTTACCGAAAAATCTTTGTTCGCTTACCAGTTTCCAAAAGTATTCTAGTAAAGCTTTGTTTTCCAGAAGGACAGATTTGATCGTGGTAGCTTAATGTTGAGAGTATTCATTACCATGAAAAGACAAACGTATAAATTCCTTCGCATTATCTTAAACCTACAGAGCTGCTGCGAGGACAAAAACGTGCCACCTGTTGTTCTTTTCTTCATTGAATATTATAAACTGGAGTTTCAACAGGATTATATACGACCCCATACGACTAGAGAACGAAGAATCTTCGCCTGACGGCAATTTGAACGTCATGACATGGTTTAACCTTTCTCTAGATCTTAATTCAATTGAACACGTATGGGATCTGCTTAACACACAGGTCCAAAACAATCAACAAATTATGTATTGTTTACAAGAACCTGAACATATTTGTGGAATTTGTTGGATGCCATTCCCCAAATATCAATTAAAAACATCGTACGTTGAGTTGAAAAACGCTATCGGATAGTCAGATGCGCATAAGGGATGGCCAAAATCCTCAATTTTGCTAATCTTTAGAAAGCTGTTAATATGGTCAAAAGCACTCACAATTTAATATAAAGGAATCTCGTATCAATCAGTGATAAATTACAATATATCGATTTTTTTCTTTTTTAGAAATTTTCTATTATACACTTTTTTAGGGGGGAGGGGGGGGGGGTGGTCATGTCATTCATTTCGTAATAGGATATTATTTTTTTGACTCTGTACAACAACTGTAACAACTTTTTTTTTTTCAATCATTCAGTTAATGTTCATTCAACGTTTCATTCTGTCATCATTTTCATATTTCCTTCGCGTAGCTAACATATATAAACCTCTAAGGTTCTTCCTCATGTATAGCATATTTTTCTGTCAAGAACATTGAAAATGTTTTATACTCAAGTAATCACAATTCCTCATATTAAACTTAACGACCTCCTTACTCTTTCCCCAGCTCCCAAAACACGTTCAAATATAGCTTTTTAACATCATAAACGCAATTATTTTACATGTATCGATAACATTTCAATATGATTTTAAAAACTGTTGAAATTTACCAGTTTGACAAAGCTCTCCTTTAAATCCAGTATCACATCCCTCTAGACATGAGCCATTTACGTGGTGACATTGTCTGTAATGGAGGCATGCACCACATCTCTTTGTACAATTCTGTCCATACAGCCCTTCAGCACACTCTATTGGTGAAAAAAAATACTAATTTTACTTTATGGCAAAAAATATGCTAGGTTTCTTAATCATTTCCAAAGAATGTTTAAGAGGTTTTCTCAGTGCAAAACAAAATAAATTCGCTACTGACTGCTCCGTGACGTCCTTCAACGCATTTTTATAATGAGGTGTTTATGTCTTTAAAAAATAATTTCTTTTAAACGAAGCAATGAATTACAATAAAATTTTACAATGAAGTTATATGACAAACTATAATTGGGCATATGAATTTTAATTCGTCCAAAGGCCATAAATCTTCTTGTGATATTTTTTTCACTTTTTACGGTGCTCCCTGACTCATTTTCGTGCTTTGTGTGAGATATAGTTCATGTATGTGCTGCCTGTGTGCCTTATTTTGATGTATACTTTAATAACACTCTAACAGTACCTACATAACAATAATTGATTGACAAATAATTATTCTAGAATAATCCAAATATTTTTTAAACGGATTGAAATATTTACCAAAGATATTACTTCTAACAAACATAATTATACTGAAAACGCATAAGATTTAATTAATAATTTTGAATAAAATATGACATCATATTTAACATCACTGAAAAACAGATGATTTCATTCTTAATGAGAAATTTACCAAGGACCGATTATATCAGACAAGACCTTTCCATGGGTATAAATATTATTGACCTTTTAATCTTAACCCTAGTGTTTGAACCACTTTAAAAACGTAAACCGTCGCCATATCTTTTGACAGTGGGTGCTAGGACTTTCATGTTTTGCTTTTATTTGTGTATTTCTTATTACAAGGTCCTCCCCTGCATACAATCATTTTTGACCCTTTGACCTTAGAGTTTGACCCACTTTAAGAAACATTAACCTCCACTATAACTTTTGAATGGTTGGTGATTGGGATTTCATTTTTACCAGTTATATCCATAGATACAAGTCCTTTCTTTCGATTACAACAATTTTGATCTCTTGACCTTGGCCTTGGAGTTTGACTCGCATTTGAGAATTTTTAGCCTTTGTCATAAGCTGCAATACAGGCGTATCAGTGTTTCACAAGCAAACATTTTTCTTTTGGCTACCCATTATCTATTTTCTGGATTATTTTTTTTTTTATAAGAATAGATTTTATAATTGTTCCTTTTGATTTAACACATTAGTACATGGTACATGTATAGAATGAAACACCTGTAAAATGTAATATATGAAAATAAAAGATGTCTGATTAAATTTAAAAAAAAATATATAGACTCAGCATGCAAATGTTAATAAAATAAGTAAATAATTATTTGCATTCATGTAACATATATTAATGACTGTACATACCCTCTCTGCAAGTTTTTCCTTTCCAACCTACGTGGCATTGAGACGTGCATTGTCCTGTAATCCTGTCACATGTATCGCAATTACTGCATTTATCAGAACAGTTTTTACCATGCCAACCAACAGGACATGCTGTAAACAGGAAAAAGGAGGAGATGAACAAAAGGTAATAAATGTAATAAATACTTTTTCTCATACGTCCAGAGATCGTTTAGTAAGTCTTATTGATTTGCACCTGATACTGGCATTCAAGATAACAAAACCGATCTGCAGTAATCACCAAAAAAAAAACGGCAATTAGCGGAAAAGAAAACAAAATGAAAGAAAACAAATGGCAGCATATATTTTGTTATAACAATTTAAGAAAATAGTTTTGAATAATATATCATTAATTTTACAAGGCGTTTATAAAGCCTCTAGATCATTGTGCCAATTGTAAACATTTTTTTTTTTTTTGGGAGTAGGGGGACTACTTTTTAATTTTATTCTACCGTGTAGCTTTTATGCATTTGTTACCATGTTTAATGTACTTGTGCAATTGTATTTTCCCAACGCCATTGACAATAATGACGAGCAATATCTTTGAACAACATATTATAACTGCATTTCCTCTTTTTTTTTCATTATAAATGTATTCGTCAGGTTAAAGCTGACGAGTTGACATTTATATGTAACCTAGGCTTCTGCTTACTTGTTTTGCATTTGTCTTCATAAACACCAAAGTCGCATCCGTTCGTACATTTCCCGTTGACATGGTGACAAGTCACTCCGTCACTACAGTTCCCACATTTTTCTTTGCAGACTTCTCCATAGAAATGCTTTTTACAGGCTATAAATTAAACAAAAAACAAAAAATACTGTTGTCAGTTGAATACATCATTTTAGTTTTCTGTCAATAATATCCAATAAATAGACTGATTAATTTCGTAATTCTTTGACTTCAAAAACAAGGAACGGGATCTCAAAATTAGCTTGAGTATAAAAAGAAAGTAGTGGAAGTTGCATTTTCTTCATTTATTCTATTGTTTTCTAAAATGCTTCATACGATATAACTTTCATATCATCATCATTTTGAACAAGGTAGGTATTTAATTTAATTTATTTAATTTAATAAAAATATGTTATGAAAGAAAATAATAAAGTACATGGATTTGTATCAAAAATTTTACACAGAAACTTTCCTATGTTACAATTATCTTTTCTTTTCTCATTTCCCGTATGATTCTTAAATATGTATTGATTTTGTAAGACTCCATAGAAATACGAAATTGTTTTGACATATTGAGATGCCCCTTAGAAAACTAGAAGCAGAATTGTGTGCTTCCTACGAATAATACTTATAGACAATTTTTAGTCATCACTTATTCCTATTTGAGTAAATATTTCTTTTCCTGTGGTAATAATAATTTACTTTGCAGTGCGAAAAATCCTACATTATTCTGTAATAAATACACCTGTGCTTTGAGACAGTACCTAAAAGCACCAAAGTGATAAATTCTGCTGAAGCTTTGCAAATGCACTTAAGTTAGCGTTACGCACAATATGAGAGATGAATCTCTAGTGAAATTTTTACACTAAAATATCTAAACCAAATCAGTTCCTTAAAAATCCCTCGTCCTCTACTTACGCAGTTCACATCGATGTCCTTGGTATCCAGGTCTACATCCCTGACAAGCACCTGTTTCTATGTGACAATAACGACAGTTGGTATCTGGACAGGGTAAGGAACAGGTAGGTCCATAGTGACCTGTTTTATTGCAACCTACAAATGTAAAAACAAAATATCCTGAGAACAGGATAGGCTGGGGTGTCATAATTAGAACAAGCATGTATATTTACATCTTGGATATGCGCTTATTGTAAAATTGATTATATCCTACCCTTGTGATTTTATTAAGACTTTTATTTTTACTCTAAAATAATATTTAAGGAATGAATTTAATAGCTACACAATTTATACGGTATAAAGTGGGTTGGGGCAGTAAAAAAAGCGTATACTGTTCCAACCAACTTTATACCGTATAAATTGGGTAGCTATTTAGTTCATTCCTTATAATTTAGTATTCAATCTTTTAATGAAAGAAAAAAGACGATTGTCCTTAAAAATGACTTCAAATTGTAGAAAATTAAAATGTAAAGTCAGGCGGATCGAAACGTTTTTGACACAAGTCATTGTAACGTAGGCAAACCAATTTATACCATATAAAGTGATTTTTTTTATTCAATCAAATGGCGTGCTACAGTCAGAATTAAATTACCGTAAACCTCCACTTCACACAATTCATTATGTGCATCTATAGAAAATTGATCAGCATATGGTGATTCCTGGGGTCTTTTGTTGAAATATATGACATATTGTCCGTGTATAGGACAGGTTATGTTGACAACGGCTGGTATTGTGGATCTGTTGTAGATTGTGTCGTGAAAACAGAGATGGCCATCTTCTATGTTAGTTGTGTTAGATATATAAATATAAAATCCTAGAAATCTAGTTGTGTAACCATTTGAAGCACCTAAAACAGATTAAAAAAATAACCGGAAAAAAAAAAACATCAAGAGTTAGAGTTTCAGACGATACCCTTCAGCAAATATGTCTTATTCTCAAATGCCTTACTGTTTATTATTTTTTTTTTAAATAAGTTGAGAATATTTTTACAGTCTGGTCAGTTTTTAGAAAAAAAAATGTGACTGGTTTGCAATGTGTGATAATTTATCCACTGTTTTTAACTTGGAATTTTACATATATTCATAATAAGTAATGGATAAAAAGTATCTTCTTATATTCTTATTTCACATGTATATCGTTACATTGTATTCAAAGAACTATTTGCAATAAAGGCACCCCCCTCCCCCGGTAGCACTAAAATATTGAAATATCTTACACTATGAACAATCTTTATTTTAATTTGTATTAAAAATTCTTCAGTTACAAAATCTAGTATGGTTTGGATACTAATTATTTGCATTTGGGTCTCTGTGACGAGCTATCGGGATTTTTCTGCTATTCTGAAAATGAAGACCAAATAAACAATTTTTTCCTCAATTTTTCCTTTTTTAGTGCAACCTTGTTCAGGTACTATATTCACAAACTTCATTGATATTATCATTAAACGCATTATATCAGAACTTCAAGCTTGAACAGACTTGCTCTTGAAACATTCCAATCAAAATATAGGCGTAAAATAAATGGTTTCCTAAATATATATATATATATATTTCGATAACCATTGATATATATATTTGGACATTTCTCCGACGTCATATTTAGCTAATGACCTCATAGTTGATGGAATTATTAAATGCCTTAAAGTAAATAATTCATTGGTTTAGAACATAATAAGAGATTCCTCAAAAGATTGATTGTAGTCGGAAAATAGCTCCTCAGAGCTAATGTTTTCTGTTTGATTTACCTGACTTTGAATAAAAATTATCTTATCTTATCTTATTGTGGGAGAGGTATTGACCTTTGAAAGTATATAGTCTTTTAAGGAAGACATTAATTATTTATTATTACTGGCCTCTGATTTTTTTTTTTTTTTTGACGAATAGAAAGAAAAAACGAGTAAAGCTAATTAACCAAAATCCGTATCATATACTTTTTTTTACCTATCTTGCTTTTGACAGCCCCCCCCCCCCCCCCACACACACACACCCTTTAAAAAAAGAACAGAAAACGTAACCAACGAATTAATGACATCAGTTACCAAAATCAACGAAAATGACAACTTTTTATAAAAAAAATCCTTGATGCACTAGATTGACTGGTCTATCAAAAATTCTGACTTTTTCCGACTCAGCCCCTCACTAACGGAAAACATCCTACCAGCGAAATCACCAACCTAGATCTTCAAGTCAGAGAAATGCAAATAAAAGTCACCAATTAGATCGAAGAGCTTTGCGCGGTAGAGCGAAGAATTCGATTGATTCCCGAAACAGACCATGAACCTAGCATAAGAAACTTACACTGAGTATTAATTCTTTTCATTGTCCAGGTCCTGCGATTTTTGGTTCTTAATCCGTTAATGTTATACATATATTGATTTGATTTTGCAGTGACCTTTGCTTCATAATTATGACTTTATAATGTTAAAGAATATATATACATGCATTTTCGATAAGTTCACTCATTATTGTTCTTGATTTACATACAATACTTATATTATAAATGTAGAGAAATATACGTGCAATTACCCCAAGGTACATTATCCGTCCTGTAATATATCCTTATGTAGTGTATACTATGGATGGATGTCAAATTAACCCACCAGGTGGCGCTTCTGTATCTATAACCTGAAATAGCACATTGCCCCCCGAGGGCAGAAAGGTTTGTCTTCAGACCATCAACAGCATTGCTTGAGTCGAAAATATCTCCTCCGAAAGTAGAGCTCCGATACTCATTTGATTGTTCTGTAGGTTTATTAAGAGCTACGTTTTCTAGGGAAAAAAAGAAACACAAAAAAATAATGTTTCCCCCAGTATTGTTGGTTGTGTTTGTTTGTGCTATATTTTTTTTTTCACAATTAATATTTCTTTTTAAAAAAATCATTTTACAAATTACTTTTTTAAGAAAATGAGAATAACTTACTTATTTTTCTCCATGTTTACTTTAAATGTTTTTAAGAATTGTATTACATTTATCTAAGCATTTCATAAACGTTTCCTTATTATTTTACGAAAGATTTAACATGAAGTTGTGCAAGGTTTACAGCAAAAGCCAAAGCGCATATGTACACTGTACACGGCCCTAACATGCTTTTACCCCAATCTGGATTTTTTAATCGGATTCCCTGGTATATGCTTTGAGTGATTACTGTGTAAGGATAAAACGATACCGATTTTTCACGATAATGTGTAATTAAATCGTTCTACACCAAAACTATGTGATTAACGTTACATTGCAATAACTAGTTGTAAAGTCTCCTAATTTGTTTGTTATCTGTATTTTGAAAGTTTTTTCATCATTACGAATTTTATCACTATGTCATTTGATTATCTGTCTGTAATATAATAATTTATGTGGCTAAAACGAATGGTATGACAATCTCAGTGCCTGCATTGGAATCAGATTAAATTCCTTAGAGTGCATGAAATGCACTTAATATAGAATGATAAATGAGTTGTTTTATTACAGAATGAAAGAACAATGTATGTTAATGGCCAAATTTGGACCCTTATTTGATATAAAAATAAGAACAAAGTTTACATCGTAATATTTGCAATCAAAGAACTTTAAATGGTTCTTGAAATCCATCAATAAGTTTTATATCCTACATTGAGGCTGCAAAAGTTGATAAATGATAATATTTTCCCATTTTTCTGAATTTTGATGGAAAGAAGAAGGTACGGTTTCAATAAAAAGCTGGCCCTGTATTTCTTGTACGGGATTTTTCCTCCTAATCACACACGTTTACTATATCTAGATTGCCTACAATCTCCTTGAAAACGACAGTTTGTATGTTTATGACTTATTTCTTTAAAATAAAATTGGATTTGAAATAGGTCACCAGATTACTTTTTATGATGATTTCCGATTGAGTGCAATAAAAAGATTATTCACTATTTTATAACTTAGTGATACATGTGGCTGTTATACGAGGGGTGATCAAAAAGTTTGCGAACTAATTGAATTACTTACTTAAAAGAAATAAAATGAGGTTTCAGTGTTTATTATTTTTTTAAAGTGGTCCTCTCCGATTTTAATGCACATCTGCCATTGTTCTGCCCATGTGCGAATCACGTGATCCAGGCAGTCACGTGACATGCTCCGTAGCAGTCTGTTCAGAGAAGCTAAAAGATTTTTCCGAGTCTTATATTTCTTACCATGCAAGTTATTCTTTATAACAAGTACAGTCCATCTGTCAGAAATGGCCAAATCTCGGCAATAGAATGGGTGGATAAAGATATCCCTTCCCAGAATTAGTATGGTGACCCATCACAACCCGAGTCTTCTGTCCCTAGAGCGTCGTTTATCCAATGTGGATAAAGTATGGACGCCGTCTTTTTATCATATCTCATATGTTTAAAGTCTAAGGTAAACAATATTTTAGGGATATAATAATTATATTATTGTTAAGATATTCAATCATTTTTCTAATTGCAGCTGGACGATGTTTCATTACAAATTGCTCAACTAATGGCACATCTGTTCCCAAGCTTGCTTTCGCTGGGCAACAGAACAAACATAATTTTTAACCATCTCCCTGTCTTTACTTAAACAATCAATCCAATTAATGATTGAACTTCTGGTAAGTCTTTTATCTTAATAAACCTTGTACAAATTATCATATTCTACTGCAAAGGAATTTCCAAGATATACGTTAAACTTTACAGCCGTTCGTTGCTCGAGTACGACTGAGTCAACCATTTTTTGTCACAAGTGACCTACATATTGACGTCATTTTCACATTGTGATGTCACAAACACGGAGCAAAACATTATTTAACAGCTGTTATTTATAGAACATGTCTATGACTATATGTGTGCCAAATTTCATTCTGATCTGAATTGTGGTTTTGTAAATAAAGAGATAGTTCGTGAACTTTTTGATCACCCCTCGTATATGAGGAAAAATAAGATTGAATTTTTTTTTATCAAAACGAAAACAATTTGGAGTGTTTCTATAAGGAATTATTTCCAATATCGAAATGATACGCAATGCGTCGGCCATATCGCCAGATTTTGATTTTCACCTGCCAGACATAAAAATATATCCGGCATTTACGTGTCGCGTTTAAGAAAAGAATGTACGATATTTAAATTCGAGTGAAAATATCAGATCTGCATTGACCTTAAAAGGTAATAAATAATAAAAGTGAGCATATATGTCTGTAAATTAATGTAAAGAACGTTTATTTCTTTTACCTCTATTCATTGATCAATTTATACTAGCATTATTAAAAAATATACAGTACCAACTTCATCGTACTCTGATTTCAATTTTTCAAAGTATTTTAATTACAAGATTTTGCGTTTATTGTGATGATTGATTACGAGGTATAGAGAATTTTTTGTCTTGTTAAGCATGACAAGAATAATATTGCTGGCACACAGGTGCTTGTGTACAGGAACCCCCCCCCCCCCCCCACACACACACACACATACACCAGGGGTCCAAGGATATTTTTATTTATTTTCTTTCAAATATTAATCTCCTAATACACATTTACAATGTTTTTCATATGAAAAATCCAAAAATAACGTAGAATTAACATTTTATTAAAAAATCATACCAGCGGTATTAAAAAATAGAGAAGGTAAGTCACTTCCATTTTGTTATTATTGGACCCTCTTGGTTATCAGGCCTAAAATATCATTTTCCTACTTTGTGTCACCAAAATATGTCATGATAGCTTGTTTCCGTAGATATTTTTCTCTTTAATCGTACTATTTAATTGCCCAGGCATTCCACAATAATACGAGTATTCATCGTCAAACGTGAAAAAAAAAATGCTACAAAATTTGTAAATGTCAAATTAGAAATTACGGAAGTGATGCACAAACGACACCTATCGTCTAACTCTGCTGTATGATTGTTTAATAAAACGTTAAATCTACGTCATTTATGTATTTTTCATATGGAATACATTGTAAATGTGTAATAGAAGATTAATTTATGAAAGAAGACAAATAAAATTATCCTTGGACCCCGGGGTGTATCCTGGGGGGGGGGGGGAGTCCTGTCCACAAGCACCTGTGCGCTGGCACTGTATCGCGCAAATACTCGGGATTTTTTTTTTTTTTTTTACAGAAAACGTTTTGACGATAAATAATTTCTCAACCATTTAAAAAATAAAGAAAAAATACATATACCGATTTGAAAATTTCAGTAAGCTGCATTGTTTATAATATATATTCAAGGAAAAAGAAAGTTTTTTTCCTGATCTGAACACAAACTGAGTGCATAATTTTTTTTTAGAGCAGTATAGCCAGGAGGATGCCTGCACTTTGAACTGCATTGCTATTCTTTTACTGCGACGTTTAGTATTTCATATCAATATGTCAATGGAGCAGTAATGAGACATGTTAGATTTTTTTTTCTTTCAAATTCTGCCATGAACTTCAATTTTAAGCAGACAAATGAGTTAAGATTTGAAATTAGAAAATACTCAAATAAGACATTGTTAAGTCGAAATATAAAATTATAATAAAGTTGAATTATTTAAAGTCAGATTAGTTTTGAATTAATTGTAGGAAATGTTAAGTAGGTAGTATACATAAAAAATAAAGTGGAGTGTTAATTAAGACTTTCTTTAAAAAATGTCAAATTGAGTAGCTCTATTACCGTGCTTCTTACTTTCTTCTATCAAAATGAATGAATTGACTTTTCGAGGATGTTGAAAGTAGTTTTACCTGAATTTAAGAAATAAGACTTACCATATCCTTGGGTATAACCGATTGTAAATGTAACAAACCATATTGTTGTGCTAATGAAAATCCTGTCACAAAATCCCATCTCATTAGAAACAGGTATTGCCTACAACACATACAAAACGAAATTATTGATAAGATCACAGTTTTAAGACACCTTTTGAATAGGTTTATGTATATTATCAGTTTGAAATCATCTTTTCTGAAAAATGAATTAATAAAAAAAAAAAAAGGAAATACATAATCTCCAACCTCAGTTATTCATGTTCTAGAGAGAAAGTCATTTATATTTTTTATCACTATATCATTGTGAAGCTTTAAGAAAGCTGATGTAGAATAGTTCTTTACACACTCAAACATTCAAGTAGTTATTGCGAGTGCTTCACAGCATTTTATATATAATGCATTCATTATTTTACTTTTTTTTCATCATTTAGAAGTTTTTAAACATCATAGGGTACGTTTTGTGCATCAAATGAAGAAGGTGATTGCAAAATCAGTAAACCTTGTAATACTCTTAAGTACAGACCCTAAAACGTGCTACTACACCACTTGCACGGTTCGGTCCGGTTCGTTTTGTGTACGGTACGGTACGCTTCTTGCACAGAACGGTTCGATTTATGAACGGTACGCTTTGGTGAACGGTATGTAAATTAAGTGGGCGGAGCCTGAACGCTTTGGTTTATGATTGGCTACTTAATTAATAAAGTCTTTTATTTCTTTATTACAATCTCTTTATTTTATATAAATGGAAGGACTGTGTCGCAAGCATTTTTTAATAAGTTGTTTTAAGTTAAAGCTGTTATAATTTTTTTCCTTTTTACAGCTGTATTTTCATTATTACATGTAACTAGTCGTCTTATTAACTTATCTTTTTTTCTTAATTTACTTTCTGTATGAACTACTTTCAATATTTAAAATAAAATAATTTTAGTTGTCTATTTATTATCTTGTTTTGTAGACCATCGCCTTATGGTTCAATAACGTGGGAATAAATCGAACACATCAAAAAACACTGTATAACAAGGATGAAAAAGAATAATTTGGATGCATCGCCATAAAAGCCTTTCTGTATTTTTTTTCTTTAAAGAATCAGCGTACATATGTTTTTGTTTTTTTTTTTCTCTCTTAAATTTCCTATTCGAATACAATTAATATTTTAAATATTCCCTTATCACACTGAGTTTGATTTTATAAATCCCTCATGCTTTCATTTCGTCTACCTTTCCTTTTACGTTCTTGTCATTGTTGCTTCATTAAAAAAAACAAAAACAAAAAAAAAAAACAAAACAAAAAAAAAAAAAAACAAACAAACAAACAAAAAACAAACAAACAAACAAACAAAACAAAACAAAAACAAAACGAAAACGAAAAACATTTTATTTCTCTTGACCGAATGATCAAGCACACAATAAAAAAAAAAAGTTATCATGTTCATTTTTATTTGCGAGGAATTATATATATATATATATATATATATATATATATATATATATATATATATATATATATATATATATATATATATATATATATATATATATATATATTAAATAGATTCCTTAGGTGTTTGGCTTACTAGGAAAAATACATAAAAAAGTAATCGGTAGAAGTGCACACAATTAGTGCAAAATACTCTTTATTTTTTGTGCGCGTAATTGTTTTGTTTTGTTTTTTTGTTTTGTTTTGTTTTGTTTTTTTGTTTTTTTTTCTTTTGTTTTTGCATAAATTTTCCAATAATATGTAAAAGCGCTTTTTGAAGGGAAGTTACAATCAAGAAAACGGTTAAGACAGCTACAATTCCCTCTACAATGTAGAAATGTATATAATATATATTGACTGCAAAGACAGATTTCCAAACTAAATAATATGTCAAAATGTTAGAAATAAATAGTCCGTTTTCAATTACCTAGAAAAAAAATAATATGCAGCCATGCATGTCCTCAAAAACTTTGAAAATGAATAATTTGCCCATGCCGCGTGCTACCCCCCCCCCCTCCCTCCCCCTTTGTTTCCTTGTCAAACTCAAACTTTTTTATTGAAGTTCTAGAGGAAAAGCTGACTACACATGAAATTCTGTTTAAATCTGCTGATTAAAACTGGTTCATTGTTGTAGACTAACTATTTAAGACAGCAAACTGTTAATACACGTGTGAGTGTAGACATATTTGGACTAACGGGATTAGATACGGTTCAATATACGCAGCTTAAGTTTTTACCCGTGCACGTGTGATGACAATACTTGATCGAAATTTACAAATGTTTTAGAGTAAATAACGAAAGTATAGAAAGACGTCAGTCTAGATAACGAGACCATGGCAAGAAATGTACAGTGTTTCTTTAAAAAAAAATGGATGAACACGCATGCACGACTAAGCATTTAAAAAAAAAATAAACGGGGCTTTATGTGTAAATTCCAGGTAACATATTTTACCTGTAGGTTTAGTGAATAAAGCAAATCAAATGGGAAAATGCTTTAAATAAAAATTTATCGTGAAAAAAAGCTTTTCTTATAGATTTATCACTTTAAAAAAGCAAAGTAGGGGATGGGGTGGGGGTGGTGGGAGCGAAAATGACATGCTACTTAATCTTCGCTTTTGTGATAATCTACGTCAGAGATTGAAGCTCAGTTGCCATCATTTTTTTCCAGCATCGCGAACGACGTCGTTTTAGAAAATGTGTTATATCTGGTCCAATAAAAAATCTTTGTTTACCATATATGGCTATTGTTACAATTGCGCACAGCGGGTCTTACATGTATCACGATCAATTATCCAATTGTTGAATAAATAGCAAAGTATATTAGCCTACTACATGTTTCCATTTCACCTTGAAAGATTGATTGTATGTTGTTTAACGTCCTGTTCTAGAATTTTCACTCATACAGAGACGCTACAATGTAACGGTGAAAGGGCTTCGGACATTTAATCGGCATCCAGGGCAATTGATCAGTGAGGGTTCTTTATCATACCAACGCCTACCGTCACACGGGACCTCGATTTTAAGGTCTTTTCCGAAATACCCGCGACTCTCATCTCTCATGTCAGGTGCAAGGCGAAGGGACACATTACCTATTTTTACATCCTAGGTTTGACGCGGTTGGGCAAACGAGAATCGAAACTAAGAAAGATATCCCGCTCATGCTCTCAATAGGAAAGGAGGCAATTTTTCACCGTAAAGCTTGATATTGGTGCTGTTGGTGCGAATGAAATATGTTATTTTGTGCAAATTCAAAATTATACAATGTACATAATTTTAAAAAAAGTAATCTGTGCCACATTCAGAACGTTTTGCAAAGAAAGGAAGAGAAAAACAAGCAGCATTTCTTTTGCGTTTCAAAGTTTAATGGCCAAGAAATGTTTGTAAATTTGAGCATGGTAATACATGTAATAGGCAATATTGGATGTATTGTTTTTCATCAAGGAAATGCATGAAAAAATGATTGTGCTTTTCTGATTGCGAGTAGAATTCATGAAGTACAGTTTATTTATAATTTTACAAAAAAAATTAAGTACATTCCCAGTGATATACGATGGTGAAATACAATGTAGTAAAAACTGACACATAACTCTTTTTTTCTATTTTCCATTTCTCCACGTGGTAACCATTTCTTAGCTTCATTTCCGTGACCAATTTACCTTATCCATTAACAGTCTACCTGTAGTCTCATTGAATTTCGCCAAAGCTGCAGCGAACTTTCCGGGCTGTTTAATATGTAGAACACCGAAAAATAAAATGATCCGAACACATAGGTAGAGGTCATGAAAAGAGTTTAAAAAAAAGCCCCAGTGATTTCTTCATAACTGAGTTTACCTGAACAACATGTAATAGATATCTTTGTATATAACCATTGGAGTTATCTGAGTCAACAAAACATTACATCAAGTGCATTAAAATCACAACTTCATGTTATAGAAAAGTTTATTTCCCATTTTTTTTTACTTCTTCTGTATTGTTGATAATGGCATATGTCACATTCATCCATTTTTTCATTATTTTTTACCTTCATCTGTTTTTGCTGTAGACCTGATTTATGTGTCTTTGAGAGTTACTAATATTCAAAAACATTATTGCAAACAAAATGATTTAACTTTTAGGCAATGTGCTTTATATTATGATATTTGGGATCATCTGTTGATGCTTTAACTGATCTTTATACACGTATACTGAAGCACTACAATGTACACACTGAAAGTAAAATGTTTCAACACATAATTATGCAGATGGCATATCCAATATATCGTTTATCAAATCGCTGGTATATTCAAAATCTTGTTAAAAAGCCCAGACACTATTGAGTTAAAGAAATAATGCTGTCTTCTTTGAATTTGCCCCATTTCCAATTCGCCCTCTTATGAGGAGTGCGAAAAAAGCGAAATTAAAAAGACGGCGAAATTTTCCTTGTTTTTAGAATACTCTTCCACAAAACTAGGAGGAAGTAAAAATAATGTAAACCTAACATTTTGTACTATCAATCATGTCGTGTCATCCTTAATGCATACTTGCATAAGTACCCTTTCATAAAGTGGTAATCTCACTCATAAGGAGCCAGTTTTGATGTTTTATAAATTGTTGACAACAATAAGGAAGAAAATTGTAGTTAAACACTCGTTAAATACTTGCATTTATTTAAACATTTTTATTTTCAGAATAAGTAGCATATAAAATTTGCTAACCACGGATATGTGACCGAGCAATATTGTTATAAAAGAAAGTGAGAAAAGCTGTGTAATAACCGGAAGAGCAAATGACCCTAGGAGCGATTGTAAAAGTGTCGGTAAAATCTACTCAGAATACTTATGTTTACAATTGACTCAATATCGGAAATAATTCACCAAAAAATTATATAAAATTTATTATGTAAGAGTGTGTAATGTTATATAATTCTGAAAAAAAAACTTGGATGTTTTGTAGACAGTTAACGGTTGGCTTGCACCAGAAAAGCCACGTTGGATAACGCTTTCGTCCGCTATACGGTAGAGCCTGTACACTTTGTTAATAAAGTTATTATTGCCTTTTATTTGGAGTTCAGCTCATTCGTCAATAATGTTAGGGTGCAAAATTTATATAAGACGTATATATATATATATATATATATATATATATATATATATATATATATATATATATATATATATATATATATATATATATATATATATTACTAGGAACTCAAATTCAAATAATGTACTTGTGTCTACTTTACTGAGGATCGGAATAAGAAAAGATGAGTTGTCTTTATTCTAAATGATTTGACCGAAAAGAATGCTTGAAAATTAATTATATCGAAAAGTAGTCAAGCTCAAAACTCCATTTAATCAATAC